TAGTTCCACAATGCTACCATCCGTCCACTTCAGTCTTTAGTTCTCATACTCGCTTTTGGTGTATTCAAGCCTTAGTAAATTTTATATAAAATATATATAATATACTCCCTTTGTCCCTAAATTTACTTCCAACTTTCCCTTTTCGTTCGTCCCAAAAAGAACTTCACTTTCCCTTTTTGGCAAAGAATTTGTGGTTCACAACATTTCTCTCTCCTCTGCACAACTCTCCACCACACAATTCTCACTTTCTTAATCACCGTGCCACTTTAATTTGGAAGAACAATCAGGGACGGAGGGAGTATATAGTACTCCCTCCGGTTTTTAATAAACTTCACACTTTCCTTTTTGGGACGGTCTAAAATAAACTTCACACTTCCTTATTTCCTTTTTTGGCAAAGAAATCTACATCAAAACAGTGCCAAACAGTGCCAAATAGTGTCTCAACAGTGCCAAACAGTGTCTCTACAGTGTCAAACAGTGCCTCAACAGTGTACTCTACAGTAAAGTCAAATTTCTTTCCTTATTTTGTGTGAAGTCAAACTGTGAAGATAAAAAAAACCGGAGGTAGTAATTTTTTTGAACGTACACGGGTCCCGGGACCCTTAGTGGGTCCGCCACTGCTTTTACACTCGTATTAATATTTATCCATTGTATTAATATTTCTGTAAGTCATCTCGTATGGGGCCCATAGGTCCACACCTTTGTGAACCACATACTTACTTGCTTAGAACACATTTAGTTTAATTATACTTCGTATTTCCCTCTTACTAAGTAAGAGCAAGCTTTTACGCATGGAACACCCCTATACTCTAATATAGCTCATGCATGAGCATTTCCTCTCATCAATGAAGTATTCCATATTTAAATATTTTATATTTAACAATTTTATTTCTATCAACACCAATAATATATTCTCTCCTAGCCAAACAAAAAATCTCTAAAATTTCAATCTCATAATCCAGAAAATAAATATCTAAAAAAAGCAGGACTGAATTGAAATTGTATTTGTACAACACATGTCATTGATTCAAGAGTTCGATAATTATATACTTCGTATGAAACAATTTTAAAACGAAGAAGAAGAAGAACGTCGAACACTATACATTAGCCAAAAGAAGAGGTAATAGATCGACCACTAGAAGCTAAAGAAATGAAATGAAAATAGAGGGGTATTAGATCAACTCAGCGAGAGGAGTTGACCAGTAGAGTAATAGAGGGGTATTTTGGTACCTTAATTCTTAAATGAAACAAAATGGTACCTTAACTATACATAAATGTTTCAAATTGATATTTTATTCAAATTTTCGACAAAAAAATCACACGTGACAGTCAGAATTCTATGTGTAAAGTCTACTTCACCTTAATTTCGTTCATATGATCACTACCGAGTGACTCTACACGTGGAATTTTGTATGTCGTGAAGGATTTTTTGGTCGGAAATTTGAATGAAATCTCAATTTGAAACATTTATGTATAGTTAAGATACCTTTTTTGATACATTTAAGAGTTGAGGTACCAAAATGCAACATTACTAATAATTAAGCTACCATTTATAATTAAATGTAGGTCATTAATAGAGCGAAATGGAACAAATGACTTAACGATTGAGTCATTGCGAGAACGGAGCTTAAGAAAATTCGGTCGAATGTTACGGCAGAATTTGCTTAGCAAAGAAGCCATAGGCTATGAAGCACGGATACTTCACTAGTGTGCCGTATCGACGTATCGGAAACGTTCCCGTATTTGATACTCTAGGATATATGTACTGTACGTTCCCAGGCCATATCTGCAATTTTTAAAAGTTTCCATTTTTTTGGTAATTATTTTAAAATTTCGGATACTTGTATCCTGACGGAACCCGTATAAACTTTTAAAAGAAAAACTTCCAAAAAAAACTTTTTTAAAAAACACTCAAAATTTACATAATAAAATTCTTAAAAAATGAAAAGCTAAAAATAATTTTTACCTTGCTTTTATGTGGTACACAACTAATGAGCATATTCCTAATTCACCCATCCTCATATCCCTAATTCTAATTAATTATTCCTGAAAATTAATAGCTCCAACGGAAATATGTATTTAAACTTTTAAAATATTGTGTTCCATCTTCATTATTACTAGAACTTTGAGTACTTGCACATTTAATTTCAAAATTGTAGTTGTTTGACTTATTTCTAAGTATTTTGAAAATGTAAAATGCTTCAATGCCATAAATGAGTAGACGTCAGAGGATAATATTTTTTCTAAAAACACATTATATTTTATTATTTATAAACACACCCATGTAACTTTTAATATTTATAAATAAACCCACATAACTTTTAATATTTATAAATATGTTCCCGTATCTGTATCCTATTTTTTTTGGTTTTGTCGTATCAACTCATTAAATGCTTTGTATTCAAACCCAAAAGTTCATTTTATTAAATCTATAATAGTATCTCATCAGTCATCATAATAACACAAAAGTTTATATGTGCACCATTAAATGATACGGAACACTATTACATTTATTATTTGTGCAATGTAGTTTTGAAGATAAATCATCACACAAAATGTTGGTAACCTGTACGTACAATATACTCCGTCGTAGTTAGTACGTATAGTATATCGTAATTCGAATTTTAGTACTTAATTCTATATGTATTGTTAATACAAATAATATTTTACTATGCTATAAATTACCATGTCAGTAATACATACGGAGTAGTACGTAGTATAAATTATCATGTCAGTTGGTCAAGTGGTGAGAAATTTGGATCAAGTAACCAAGGTTCGAATCCCGCAGCGACCTTGTGGAGGTTACAGAACCTCTTAAATAGGCTGAACCTTTGGCGCGCATGAGTATATCAGTATATGGGCCTACTGCCACTTTGCTGACTGAGTCACTGCGATTTTACTCCTTCACCATCATGTCGGGTCGGGGTGTGTGGGCTTCTAGATGGGAGATTCCACCTTTTGGATCAAGTAGTATAAGGGCTGGTTTGCAACAGCTTTAAAAAGCACTTCTCAGCTTTTGGTTTTAAAAAACACTTATTTACCAAACACTACCAATTTTTTACTTTTCTCGGCTTTCGTGTCAAAAGTGCCTTTCTCCGTTTTATACACCAAAAGCACTTATTTTATCAAACACTATCAACTTTTACTTTTCAAAATCATTTTTTCTCAAACACTATCAACTTTTACAACTAATCACTTTTTCCAAATCACCCCAAAAGTGCTTTTTTTAAGCATAAGCTGTTGCAAACACTCCCTAACAGATCTTAGATCGCTGGTCTATCAAACTATCATTACTATAATACTATTATTGTTTTTATTATTATCACTGTTTTAATTGAGTAAAGCTACTTTTTGCAACAAAAAAAAACTAGCAATGTACATTTTCAGTACATAAGTTGAAGCGATATGATTAAGTTCACATTTTTTTATGTACGAAATTAACATATACTCCGTATAATCTGAGGTGAAACTAATTATACTCCCTACATGTCTTATCTTTGTTCTTTCTTTTTGAGATTTGAAAACTTTTTTTCCTATATACTTGTATGTCGTTAATAAATCAAATTTCTTATTCTTTTCAAAAAGTGAATTTCCTATGAAAGATTTGAGAACTCCTTTCTCAATAGGTCGTAGGTTGGAAATTTCTGCAAGGCAGCCCATCCCAGATTCCCAGGAGGGTTTCTCCATATTTAAATATTTTTGTGTCCTCAATCAAGTAGGGTTTTTCTTTTCCGCCGCCGTTGGCGATAGCCAAAGGTTGTTGCAGCGTTGATTTCTTGGTTCTACATTTTTGTTTGGTTGAAAGAGAACAAGATCTCCATAGCTATATATGGATACCACAAACATCTTGTTTACTGTTGGTCATGGGCGGAAAATGGGTGATTGGTCTTCGGCGGCCGAAGGTTGTGCACCCCTACAACAGGTGGAGAGTTTCGAGAACGTTGTTCATGGATGAAATCAGAAGGTCATGAACGAAGTTTGGAGCTAAATGTTGGAACATATCTGTCATCTGTGTTTGGTGGCGAAAGTGGAGGCTTGACAGAGAATATGAGGAATAAGAGGCAGGATCAGGAAGAAGCTACAGTAGTGCTAGCTCGTCCCCCTCATGAACCACTGTCATGGAGTGCAGGAGAGTCTAGAGTTTCGAAGAAGACGAGTGAAACCTGTTTTAATTCTGTCTTATTTTGTTTATGTTTTTATTTCAAACTCCGTGGTGTTTTGGTTGTGTTTTTATTTCATAGCAGAAAAACTCTGAAATTTCATATAGGTGATGAGAAATCTGATTTGCCTGTCATTGGCTAAGTTAAGCCCATTACAGGATCAACGAATCTTATTGCTTTTACGGAGGTGATAGATTCTAAATCTAGTTTGAAGGCAGTCGGTAGATAGAAGACTTTTCGTCGTTTTGTAGCTTGCTTAAGTTCTGTTATTTTAATATAATCCACTTTCTTCCAAAAAAAATGGATTTTGTATAGTGTGTGCAAAAGTGTATTGTGGATGGCGAAGATGATCTAAGTGCAATAGTGCACTTCAGACGATCAAAAGTAAAGAAGTTCGCATTTCTAATGGGAAGATCGCCTTTTTATTGGAAATGATCATGTATGATATGCCTAAAAGTTACAATTTTAGGCCTCTTCCTTAAGGTGCTTTCGGGTCAAAAGTTTTGATGAAATTTTATGAGCATGTTATTCATGAAATGTAGATTTTTCTACCAAATTTTAGCTTAAAATTTAATTAAATAAATGATTGAAAAACTGCATTTTTATATATAAAAACTGCGCAATTTTCAATAATTTATTGCGAAGGACTGGTTTATTGCGAGATGCTGTCTCCATTGGGGCATCGACCATTGGTTTTTGTTTTTATACATCAAACACATTTGTAATGAACAAAGTGCTCGATAGTAGAGAACACAATACTCAATGAAGATGTGTTAATGCTCAACACAGAGCTCCAATGTTCAACAAAGATGTTTGATCACACAGTCTTAATGCTCAATAGCAGTGATGAAGTATATTTCAAGGGTATCAACATTCACGAATAAAAGTCCCCAGAATTCACTAAGTCATTTCCCGCCGAGGTTGAGGCCGATCCCCTGAGTCCGGATCCAAAGTTGGTTCTCAGATCATCGAGATAAGTCCAAAACCGCATCTGAGGCAGAGCTTGGTCCTGCCGAGGATGGCACCAAATTCAGCACTATAACCGAGCTTGAGGTCAACTAGCACCTCACAAAGTTAAAGAGTTAAAGAGAATGTTATTGCTTCACGTAAACTTACTGAGGCCACCCTCCTCCCAAATAAGCACGCTACATCTGAACCCGACCCCTTCTGCAGAGCCCAGAGCTCGGGAAAGATTGTGGACTTAGTCATTTCACCATTTAAGATCCGTGGACGACTGCGATTACGTCATCCGCGAGACAACTGTCTAGGGCTAATGTCACCTAGCTAGGCAGTTTTACGCAGAAGGTTCCAGACGAATACGTGTAAATCCCTCATGCATTTCAGTATCAAAGGGACCGAATCAGTTATATATCGTACCAATCAGCCAGTTGTCCCTATTCTATTACGAATCAGCCAGTTATCTATTCTATTGGTGGAAAGGGATCGCCATTCTTACGTACTAGCTTATTGTTACTCTGACAAATTTTCTATTCAACCTTATGCCTCAAACCCACCTGCCGCTTCTCATGGGTGAAGAGGAACCAGGGTTTGCGGCGGCGCATCTCATCGAAGCTCACCTTATGCCTCAAAACCCACCTGCCGGAGCCGCCCCTCTCGTAATTCAACAGAACCCACACCTCAATATTCTCCCCTGGCCGCCTGCACTTTCCCATGTACAGGCGGCCCCTGTCGCCGCCGTCATCCGTCGGGGATGGTCTATCAGCACCACCTCTCCCCTGCCTCCGTCGTAGGCTAAGAGGCCGTCCTGATCCACGTTTCAATACATCACCCCATCGATCATAAATGAGCAAGGCAGCCTTGACCATAGATGGCATGGATGATGGATCCCGATGTTAGAAACTGTACGGATTTTCGTCCACGCATTTTTCGTCCTCGGAGATTCCAATTGTTTCCAGCTTCCTCGGAGGCGTCCAGGAATTGGGGAAACCAGGGCTGTAATGGAAAATCCGCAACGCCAATTTTGAGGCTGTATTTATCTAAGCATACGTATGTTATAATAAAATCACTTAAATAACATGGTGAAAGTATCTACAGAGATCATGCTAGAGCCTATTCGTTCATACGAACAATGATGAGTCTATTCTAATGAAGAGGACGTACTTTGGGATGAGTGAAAATTGCTTAAAATAGCCCGGCCATTACTATAGATCGAGTCTCTGAACAATTCAGCACAAGACGAGCAGCCACCGCATGGCGTTGTCAGGGCATTATTCTAGAAAAAGTTTACACGAATAGATGACCTTGAGCCTGTTTGCTAATCTTTTTTTTTGTGGTGATGAGTTAATTAGCCAGCTTTTTAATCAAACAAATATTTTTTTATTTCGAGGGCTGATTTGTGTAATAATAAGAAAAATAAGCTAAGGTTGAAGTTACTTTTCTGGTTGTATTGGCTGAAGTTACGGTAGAGGATCATTTTAGTTATTTTTTCATATAATTTTTTATTTTATCTATTAACAACAAATATTTTAAAATATTTTTTCATAAATCACCAAAATCAACCAATATAGCCACTTCAGCCAAAACATCATAAATTTCAGTAGAATCAACCACTTCAGCCAATTTAAGTGTTACCAAACGGCTCCTTATATGACCCCTTTCCCAAATTTTTATGTTAATAATTGAAAACAAATGGAATGTGAAGTGGATCAAAACCTAGCATGCCCTCTTAATTAGGGGCTGTTTAATTACGTATTTTGTGAAGAGTTGTCTAGGGATGTATGTTTGGATTAAGATGTTTCTCTAGATTAGGCATGGACCGGGTCCGGATCGGGCCGGGATTGGGCGGGACTAGGGTTTTGGGATGAAGGCCCGGTACAGGCCCCGGGTTGGTACCAAGCCCGGGTCGGGTCTAAGTTTTTTTACTTAAAAATTTGGTTTTTCTGATTTATTCCTACCCCCACCCCCCCACCCCCCAAACCACCCAGCCCCACTCGCCTAGCAGCCAATGAATGTGAAACAATCAAAAAAATAATACTCCCTCTGTCCCAATATAAAAGGCACACTTTCCTTTTCGGTTCGTCCCAATATAAAAGACACATTTCCCTTTTTGGCAAACAAAACAGTGTCAAACAGTGCCAAACAGTGTCCAAACAGTGCCAAACAGTGTCTAAACAGTGTCAAACAGTGTTCAAACAGTGTTCACCCTTAAAAAGTCCCCAAACGCAAATGTGTCTTTTATATTGGGATGGAGGGAGTAATAATTTGGGCTCGAATCGGTCCCAGATCGGTCGGGCCGGTCCACCATATATGCATCTCGTAGCCCGCCCCTAATACATCCGGTTCGGGCCTCCGGTCCCCGTCCCGGTCCGGTCCCGCACAATAATAGACCGTGTCGGGTATCGGGTCGGACCAAACCGGCCCAATCCATCCGTACTTTAGATTAAGTGGTATTTATATATAAGGTTGTTTTTTGTGTGCTAAATAAACAGTTTGAGCTGAGTAAAATAATTAATTTATTACTCCCTCTGTCCCCCTTATATTGTCCCGTTTTACTTTTTTGGTAAGTCCCACTAATATTGTCACATACCATATTTGGTAAAGTTTGTGTGGTTCTAAATCATTCTTACTTTATCAATGAATATCAACAACACAAACCCACTTTTCTTAATAATCGTATCACCCTCCTCCGTACCAATATAAAAGGGACAGAGGTAGTATTATTTTTTAGCTATAATATCAATTTAAAATTTCATTTATTATATAAATATATTCAACAATCAATTTAAGATTTTTGACAGAAAAGACGTCTTAATATGAATGACTACTATTTTCCAACTTCATGATTAAGTCAGTTTTCATGATTAAGTTGTGGTTTAAAGTAATTCATAAGTAAATGTGATTTAATGGTTGAACGATTAAGTTACCATTCTCATTGAATCCATTAAATCGAAAGTAAACAATCCTTACAATTTCATGAGACATGATACATAATACGGAGCAATTATTATCCTACATAATTGCACTACTTTGAAAAAATGACATTTTCCCGCTCAAGTAATTGAGTCAATTCTAGCCGCATGATCCAGCTCAAAGATCGACGACCCCAGTTTACTCTTTGTTCCATTGCATTTCTCATTCATTGCTCCCCATCTCGATCCCTCATCCTTGGAAAATCTCTCACTCCAGTCACCTTCTCTCGGACCGGACTTTGCTCACTCAATTTCTCAGCTCTCTACTTCATCAGAAACTATGAGACTTGAGATGCATTCATCATAACCTTTCCCGTTTAAAAATCTCACCTCTCAATGTCGATTCGCAAATCATCGGAGTTAAGAGTTCCGACCCGTAAATCTGGGTTCATCGCAGGTATTTATCAAAGGTTCGTACTGCTCACTCCCTAGAAGCAAGCACCATCGTTTTCTTTCCATTGGTCAACCCACTAGGTTTCAGCAACCCTACACTTCAGCTTCTTCGCCCCTCATAAATTGTTGGGAAAAGTACAGAAAAGGTACTTGTGGTTGAACCCGTTTTCAGATAAAATCATGTGTTTCATTCTTTATCAAAGTGGTTCATGTGCTTGAATTATGTTATCACAAGAGGGTCACGCCGTTAAAAACGTCTGAAAAAGACCGTTAAAAGTAACACCGGTTTTCAAAAGTACCTGGAAAATTAAAAGAAATTTACCGAAAGGTGCGCCTCGTCAAGATGACCTCCAAACTACCTTCGTCTTTGGATTTTTCAGATATGTTTGAATTGTTTTTTTAAAAATGATTTCTCTAATATCATTTTTCATGTGGATTATCCGGTGACAAGGCTGGCTTAAAACAAAAAAGAATGATTTCTCTTATTCCCGTTTTGATTAAACCGATTTAGTCGGCCATCAATTCTTTCTTTTGTTTATTCACGCTTTCTTTATACCAACTCATATCAACTCATATTAATAAGTGATTCATTCTTTTTTGCTTGATTTGATTAATTTTGTTTTAGAGTCCTATTTTTTACATTGTGAGGAATGGATGTGTGAAGTTAAAAACCAGTTTTGTTGTTGTGGGCCTTTTAATTTATTAGATGTAGATACCAGACAAAGATGTGAGTCTTTCTTTGTGCCTTCAATGTTGATAGAGTGCAAAGGTCTAAAAATGTATAAGCAATATTCGAGCTGCCACAAAGCCGCACTTTTTGTGGCAAATGATGTTATTTTAATTTCAATAAGTAAAGGATTTTTTCTTTTCTGGAAGCTGGAGGGCAGCTCAACTAACTGGGGCAAGACTCACAGGTGCAGCACAGGCGCAGGGAAGCAGGGGCGGATCCAGGATTTCATGTTAGGGTGGGCTGAAACACTTAAATGATAATACATTGAAAATTTTCAAAATAAGCAAAAAATAAAATATACTACGCAAGAGTTTTCTCCTAAATTTGTTCTCGATGAGGCTTTGAAACAAAAAAATCGTCAACAATATGGTCTACATCTATACTAAGAGTAAGGTCTTTTTTATACCAAGAGTAATGTCTTCTTCAATATAAAGTGTCATGCAATCAGCAAGAAAGCCATCATCCATTTTGTTGTCGAGTGTTGTCTTTAGAAGTTTTATGAGAGAAATGATTGTTCTGCTATTGTAGTAGAAACACTAAGATCAATAGAAGGCTAATCAATTTGCTTATCATAACATATGAATCAGATGTTCTCCTCTGAGTCAACTCCTCACATAATTCAACAAGTGTACATATTTGAAACTTTGTATGATTAATCGCATCATGAACATAGTGTTGCAGCTCGAATTCCAAAGCACAAATATATATCCTGACTACTAAAATCTTCTGGATAAAATTTTCTTGCAAGAGTACAAATAACATCGACATTGAACGACTCATATGAATTTTGGGATCCAATGAAACACTCAAAGAAAGGAATTCCACTGATTTATCATTAAATCGTGTCCTTAACTTCATCAATACAAAGTTTAATGCCTCATTGCAAACATCAAAGTGATCGATAAAGATGCTCAACTGTAGTTTCTTTTCGGCAATGACCGACCATATATTTAGAATTCAACTCTGGTACATGAATTTTGTGTTTTGAGTAAAACTCTTTTACTTCTTTAAGAAAGCCTCTCCATCCATTTTCTGTCGATTCCCCGAGAATGAGGTGTAGTAGAAACATGTTTCATGGATACCAAGATATCCAATTTTTTTTGGAGGCCTTACAAAAAATACTCATTATTCCCATAACTCTGTGCATCAAAAGTAAGGATATTTTTACTTAGACTGTAATTTGTCCCAGACCAGACTTGGGTAGTTTATAAAAATACAAAGAAATCAGACCAGACCTTATCAGACCAGACCAGCAAATTACAGTTCAAGTAAAAACATCCTAAATTGAACATAAATCAAAACATGGAAATTAAAGTGTCTATATACACCACAAACTTCTGCCTAAGAACTCACTTTTGGGCAAATTTTCTGAAGATACTCAAGCACTTTACAAGCTGTTGTGAACATGCCAATCAAGCTCTTAATTGAATCATATTTTATTGTATTTATTATATTTATGGCTTATGGGCTTTATGGCCCCTTCTACATATATATTAAGTGCCACTTATTAAGTGAGGGGTGATACATATAACATTTAGATTAGATTTTTAGATGGTAAGATTTTGTTTTATGGGACTAGGCTGAAAAATTTGACTGGGCTATAGAAAAAATAGGGGTGGGCTGGATGGATTTTTTTAAAAATAATACCTTTAAAAAATAATTTTTTTCTACTTTGCCCTGGGCTTCAGCCCACCATAGCCCTAACGTAGATCCTCCCCTGCAGGGAAGAAGCTGGCACTGTGTTGGGGATCGGGTTGGCCAGTCTTGCTGGAGAGGGGAAAGATGGAGCCGGCCAGATGGTGGTCGCTTGAAACTAAATGTTGATGCTGCTCTTGGGAGGGAAAGGTGCGGGCTTGGTTAGGTTATTCGTGACTCGGCCGGCTTGGGGTTGTCTCCTCAATGCGGACTGGCCGTGGAATAGCAAGTTGACAACGAAGGAAGCGGAGATGCGGGGTTCGTGAAGCATTGGCTTGGTCGCTGTCCTGTGGCTGGAGTAATCTGGAGGTTGAGTTCGACGGGTTCAGGTGATCTATGAGATCAGAGATGGGAAGGTCGGAAGGATTCTTCGGGTTTCGGTATGGTTGCGGATAATATTAGATTTATGATTGCTAATTTGAATAGCATCAAGTTTTCTCATGTCGGTCAATCAACGATTCGAGTTGCTTTCAATCAAGGATTCTTTGTCTGATGGAAAATTTTGTTTCTATGTTCCTCCTTTTGTACTCAAGTACTTGGAGTTTGATATTTTAAATAATACTATCCTCCGTCTCTTTTTAATTGCAACATGTTGAATT